CTAAGGCAAACACTAAACAAGAACTAAGGCAAACACTAAACAAGAACTAAGGCAAACACTAAACAAGAACTAAGGCAAACACTAAACAAGAACTAAGGCAAACACTAAACAAGAACTAAGGCAAACACTAAACAAGAACTAAGGCAAACACTAAACAAGAACTAAGGCAAACACTAAACAAGAACTAAGGCAAACACTAAACAAGAACTAAGGCAAACACTAAACAAGAGCTAAGGCAAACACTAAACAAGAACTAAGGCAAACACTAAACAATAACTAAGGCAAACACTAAACAAGAACTAAGGCAAACACTAAACAAGAACTAAGGCAAACACTAAACAAGAGCTAAGGCAAACACTAAACAAGAACTAAGGCAAACACTAAACAATAACTAAGGCAAACACTAAACAAGAACTAAGGCAAACACTAAACAAGAACTAAGGCTGACACTAAACCAACAACCTGGTACAGATTAACAAAATAGCTCAACCCAAAAGGCCGGTTGATTAGCCATATCCTCTCTAAGCCGATACCACATCATACCACCAAGATAAATTACAAAGACGTAGGTCGACAAAATCCAGCTGGGTGTATCTTGTTTGTTAAATGAACAGGTATTGGTGTTGAAAGTCGAAGAGAAAAATCAAATAACCACCCAAGTTATGTTTTATGCTCGCAGACGACTTTGTACAATTTTATTAAATTGTTTCACATCAACAATATAAGACCCTAGCACATTAAGGCTACAGACCAACAAACATCTTGTTCTCGTTTTTAAAATCCAAGAAAACTCTCCAACCCATCGGTTGCAGAGCGGCGAGAGATGTTGTATTCACTCCACTGACCGCTGTTAGTGGTAACTGACCACCGTCAGTGGTAACTGACCGCTGTCAGTGGTAACTGACCGCTGTCAGTGGTAACTGACCGATGTCAATAGTAGCTGACCGCCATCAATGGTAACTTACCGCCGTCAATAGTAAAGTAACTTACCGCCGTCAATAGTAAAGTAACTTACCGCAGTCAATAGTAACTGACCGCTGTCAGTGATAAACGTTGTCAGATTTCTAGGGCTGGCATGCAGCGGTCGTCTCTCAGATGGTGGAGGGTGATGTGGTCAGTCAGATGGCTAAGGGTATCGACGATTGAAACCGCCAGACTTACATATTCAAAACTGACAACACCTCATTTCAAAACCTCTCTAGTGTAACATTGTATAGCTCTGCAACTGTTTGCCCACCTATAACGATAAATATAAATAAAGTTAAATAACGAGCGTGCAGTGTAACTAATTAATGTTCGGTTGATAATTCTTTCCCAACTTGTGGTGTATTGTGTTGTGGTACAGAAAATGGTCGCTTATTATAAATATCCCTAACTTGTTTCGTTTAATATAGGTTGATTACAATCAGGCAGTTACTTTGTTGTTTGGGGGGTAAAGTTTATATAAATTTAAAGAGTTGCGCACTTCGCACCAAAAAGCACCAGAAGGAAACCAACGACGCGAACGTTGAAAATACTTAGTAGCATCATATCCAATATGGCGGTCATGTCAGGCTGTTTGTAGACCGTCTGGAAAAAAAATATTTTAAAAATTGTCTGCGATTCGTCACACTTGTCACTACCTGCCCTTTAGTGTCACCAGCTGTTCCTACGTGTCACCAGCTGTTCCTACGTGTCACCATCTGTTCCAAACATCACCAGCTAGAATCATCACCAGCTGTCAAGAGCTTTAACCTTCAGTAACTTTCAACATGGCCTCCCACGAAAACAGCCGCTCCGCCAACCACAACGAGGTTATGACGGCCCAGTACTTCACGGAGAGCGAATGTCTGACGACTGACTCGATGTCGTACAACACGCCAAAAACCGGCAAGACGGGGGACGTCTCCAAACCTCAGGGGAAGAACAAGCAGGTCGAGTTAGATGAGCCTGAGGATGACGACACGACCTACACCAGGATTCGTCGGATCATTCGAGAGAGGAGGGTAGGTGATTGTTGTACAGCATGTCACGTGTCGTACAGCATGGCTTACAGTACAGTGTATGTGTATGGCAAAATGTAAGCTGCAGTTACCGATACCCTGTAGTGTACGATCGTAGCTCAAGTTAACACAAATCTGTATTTATCTGGTTCTGTTATAGGTTTAACATCACATCATAGGTCCACAATAGCCAGTTATCAAGAAATGCCACCCCCCTCCTCCACACTAACTCACTTCCCTACCCAAACTTCTTATATTTTATCTAACGAATATGTCAAATTTTCCTTTACTTCCTCAGTTGCTGATATTTTTATATCAATTTTGTTTATATTTCATTAAAAAAAAACAACAACCCAGAAACAGTATGGTTTGATGTATCATTCGTCTAAACCAGGGGTTCCCAATCCCGTGCCCACGGGCGCCAGGGCGCCCGCCGAACGATTCGTATGTGCCCTCCCCTCACTATTCAACAGAGACAGAATTTATTTCATAAACATTATTGAAAGGTTGAAGGGGGTGCAAATCGAAAGTTTGAGGGGGGGAGGGGGGGGTGCAAATCGAAAGTTTTAGGGGGGGGGGTGCAAATCGAAAGTTTTGTCCCCGGTTTACGGGAAGGTTCGCTACGCCTCTGGAAGGAGTTTGTCGATTTAAAATAGGTGGTGCCCGCCACCCTACCGATATTTTAGAATGTGCTCTAGAGTAAAAAAGGTTGGGAACCCCTGGTCTAAACAAAAGGGACTCTACTCTTACCCAACATTAGTGTTTACAAATACCCTTTGTCATAATGAACTCTCAGATACATTGTCTTCTGTCACATAGCATATCTCGTATCGTATCATTGTCATATAGTATGCATTAAATGACAAATAAAGTAATACATTCAGATCTTGTATCACACCATTGTCATACAGCATGCATTAAATTAGTACAGTTCCCTTTTCAAACCTGAAGGTCTCTAGGGCAACCGAAGTAGAGTTCACCTGTTTCTGTGACCTCGTCATATGAAAAGATAGTGTGGTCAGCACTATGTCCAGCCGCCTTTACTTTCCCTAACATGAGTTAGGTACCCATCAGAGTTGGGTGGACTCATGGACGGTGTACGGACTTGAACCCGGATTCAAACTCGAGATTTATGGGTTAGCAGTCCAGCTCTCTACCGCTAGACCTCTGCATTAAAAGACAAAGTAATACATTCAGATCTTGTATCACAATCACATCATTGCCTTATATCATGTATTACATTCCTAAAAAATAATGCATTCAGACCATACAATGTAAACTTAACCGACATTTAAAACAGTCCACCACTTATTGAAATGATTGAACAGTCTTTAACAATCGACCATCTCTTCTTCTCTCCCCCCCCCCCCCCCCCGTGTCCAGGGCTTAAGGAAAGTCCCCCTGCTCAGTCTAGGGACGCCGGCCACTGTCATCGTCTTTGGGATTGTGGTCTACCTCATCTATTCCTTCCGGACAGCCAAACAGCTTTGATTGGACAGTTCAACTTAAATCAACAGCCAACTGAACAGCCAAACAGCCAAACAGCTTTGATGGGACAGTCCAACTTAAATCAACAGCCCACTGAACAGCCAAACAGCTTTGATGGGACAGTCCAATTTAGCTAAACAGCCCACTGAACAGCTAAACAGCTTTGATGGGACAGTCCAATTTAGCTAAACAGCCCACTGAACAGCTAAACAGCTTTGATGGGACAGTCCAACTTAGCTAAACAGCCCACTGAACAGCTAAACAGCTTTGATGGGACAGTCCAACTTAGATCAACAGCCAACTGAACAGCTAAACAGCTTTGATGGGACAGTCCAACTTAAATCAACAGCCAACTGAACAGCCAAACAGCTTTGATGGGATAGTTCAACTTAAACAGCCAACTGAACAGCTAAACAGCTTTGATGGGACAGTCTAACTTAAATCAACAGCCAACTTAACACCCAAACAGCTTTGATGGGACAGTCCAACTTAGATCAACAGCCAACTGAACAGCTAAACAGCTTTGATGGGACAGTCCAACTTAGGTCAACAGCCAACTGAAGAGCTAAACAGCCAAACAGCTTTGATGGGACAGTCCAATTTAGCTAAACAGCCAACTGAACAGCTAAACAGCTTTGATAGGACAGTTCATCTTATCTAAAAAGCATACTGAACAGCTAAACAGCCAAACAGCTTGGATATGACAGTCCATCGTATCTAAGCCCACTGAACAGCCCAACAGCTTTGACATGACAGTGCACATCAACCCACCTAGTGTTCAACAGCAGCGGGCTAGGAACCATCTAGAATTGATTTAATAAAACAACTGGACTAAAGTTAGACCAAAAAAAAATCACTGGTTCAATTTTTTGTTGTATCCCTAGTTATTTTATTGCATTTTAATATACATGCTGTATGCACAACAAAACATTTTTTTTTTGTCCGACAATTTCTACACTTTATTTTTTTTATTTTGTCCGACAATTTCTACACTTTATTTTTTATTTTGTCCGACAATTTCTACACTTTATTTTTTTATTTAGTTCGACAATTTCTACACTTTATTTTTTATTTTGTCCGACAATTTCTACACTTTATTTTTTTATTTTGACCGACAATTTCTACACTTTATTTTATTATTTTGTCCGACAAAATTCTACACTTTTCATTTTTTTATTTTGACCGACTAAATCTAAATTTAGATTTTATATTATACCACAATTTCTAAAATGTATTTTGAATTGTATCCAATAAGACTACCTAGCATAGATACGTTATAATGTGTTCAGTTGAACACTTCATCACCACATAGCTATGTGGGACGGTGTGGTCAGTTGAACACTTCATCACCACATAGCTATGTGGGACGGTGTGGTCAGTTGAACACTTCATCACAACATAGCTATGTGGGACGGTGTGGTCAGTTGAACACTTCAACACCACATAGCTATGTGGGACGGTGTGGTCAGTTGAACACTTCATCACCACATAGCTATGTGGGACAGTGTGGTCAGTTGAACACTTCATCACCACATAGCTATGTGGGACAGTGTGGTCAGTTGAACACTTCATCACCACATAGCTATGTGGGACAGTGTGGTCAGTTGAACACTTCATCACCACATAGCTATGTGGGACGGATAATGTGGTCAGTTGAACACTTCATCACCACATAGCTATGTGGGACGGTGTGGTCAGTTGAACACTTCATCACCACATAGCTATGTGGGACGGATAATGTGGTCAGTTGAACACTTCATCACAACATAGCTATGTGGGACGGATAATGTGGTCAGTTGAACACTTCATCACCACATAGCTATGTGGGACGGATAATGTGGTCAGTTGAACACTTCATCACCACATAGCTATGTGGGACGGATAATGTGGTCAGTTGAACACTTCATCACCACATAGCTATGTGGGACGGATAATGTGGTCAGTTGAACACTTCATCACCACATAGCTATGTGGGACGGTGTGGTCAGTTGAACACTTCATCACCACATAGCTATGTGGGACGGATAATGTGGTCAGTTGAACACTTCATCACCACATAGCTATGTGGGACGGATAATGTGGTCAGTTGAACACTTCATCACCACATAGCTATGTGGGACGGATAATGTGGTCAGTTGAACACTTCATCACCACATAGCTATGTGGGACGGATAATGTGGTCTGTTGAACACTTCATCACCACATAGCTATGTGGGACGGATAAGGTGGTCAGTTGAACACTTCATCACCACATAGCTATGTGGGACGGTGTGGTCAGTTGAACACTTCATCACCACATAGCTATGTGGGACGGATAATGTGGTCAGTTGAACACTTCATCACCACATAGCTAAGTCGGACGGCGTGGTCAGTTGAACACTTCATCACAACATAGCTATGTGGGACGGATAATGTGGTCAGTTGAACACTTCATCACCACATAGCTATGTGGGACGGATAATGTGGTCAGTTGAACACTTCATCACCACATAGCTATGTGGGACGGATAATGTGGTCAGTTGAACACTTCATCACCACATAGCTATGTGGGACAGATAAGGTGGTCAGTTGAACACTTCATCACCACATAGCTATGTGGGACGGATAATGTGGTCAGTTGAACACTTCATCACAACATAGCTATGTGGGACGGATAATGTGGTCAGTTGAACACTTCATCACCACATAGCTATGTGGGACGGATAATGTGGTCAGTTGAACACTTCATCACCACATAGCTATGTGGGACGGATAATGTGGTCAGTTGAACACTTCATCACCACATAGCTATGTGGGACGGATAATGTGGTCAGTTGAACACTTCATCACCACATAGCTATGTGGGACGGATAATGTGGTCTGTTGAACACTTCATCACCACATAGCTATGTGGGACGGATAAGGTGGTCAGTTGAACACTTCATCACCACATAGCTATGTGGGACGGTGTGGTCAGTTGAACACTTCATCACCACATAGCTATGTGGGACGGATAATGTGGTCAGTTGAACACTTCATCACCACATAGCTAAGTCGGACGGCGTGGTCAGTTGAACACTTCACATCACTTTTTTTTACCAAATAGCTTTGAATTTACAGTTTAGCACCTTACAAAAAAATTCTTAGCGATCAAATAATACCATTGGAAACGATACTCACAAGGGTCGAATATAACTGTCTGAAACCATACCGCAAGGGTCGAATACAAATATCTGAAGCGATACCAGAGGGTCGAATACAAATATCTGAAGCGATACCAGAGGGTCGAATACAAATATCTGAAGCGATACCATAAGGGTCGAATACAACAGTCTGAAACAATACCACATAGTTCGAATACACATATCAAGCTATACCACAAGGGTCGAACACAAATATCTGAAGCTATACCACAAAGGTCGAACAGAACTCTCAAATCAAACTTATTAAAACAGCGCCCTCTGAAACCGTACCCCAGAAAACTCAATGAACTAATACAAGACAAAGATACAATAACCAAATGTTCGATCGCTAATCAATCAACAAATCACCAGATCAATAACTCTACGCCTACCACCACAGACGCCTAAATCCTAGGCACGGATCAGAGATTTAATCAGGCAGAGTTACGCCGCCTGATCTTATCTGCCCTTGCTTGAGTGTAGCCTACGTGTGACAATGGGGTTTTTGTTCAATCAATGAGGGTCGCGTTACTCGTTTTGTAACATTGTGTATCCCAGCATTGTGTCGGTGCACTGTGCACCTAAGGTGTGCACTTGTGACACTCAATTTTTACAAGCTGTCTCAAAGTAAACAAAAAATATATTATGCCAGTTGCAAAGTGTAGGCTACAACTCCAAAATGTTGTATTTTATTTTAGGTATATTCTCTGTTTTTATTATTGTTAACTATATTATAGTGTGTGGATATAAAAAGGGGGATAAACCTGGATACAACACGGGAAGGTAAGTGATACCTATATAAATAATAATCGGGGGGATGTGTAATTTATAAAACACCTACGTATAACATTGTGTAATTTACGGGAAATATGTAATAATCGATGATATTATTATAATCGTATGTTCGTATGTAATAAACTACTTACAGCATCGTAAGTCATTTTATTCTGTTGTATTTCTAGTATAGCGGTTTCTTTTTTATTAAAATATTTCCTATGACAACACATAAATATTTTTTAAAATATAATTTTCAATTTAGGCATGCATTAAATAAATCTTAAAACACACAGTTCAGTAACAAAATGGGGGTTAACTCTGTGGTAATGATCACGTGATCATCCACGTCAGCCTGTGTTTAAATAGTAAAGTTCTCATTTCGAACCTGACAGTCCATGGGGCAGGTGAAGAAGAGTTCACATGTTTCTGTGACCTCAGAATATGCGGGGAGAGTGTGGCCTTTACTTTCCCTAATTTCATTTATGTGCCCATAGAAACGGGTGGACTCAGGGACCCTCTACTGACCTGAACCCGAATTCCAACTCGATACATTTGGCTAGAGCCCTACCGCTAGGCCACGAAGTCCCAGTGTTTTCATATAATTGATAACAAATACGGAAGTTTAGACAAACGAGTTACACGTGTAAAGATTGGTTTTTGCTATAAAACATCAGGAACATTAGGAAGCAATATATTAGTCTGCGAATTAGACACTACCACCCCCACCCCCGCCCACATGAAAGCAGCCGTCCGTGACGACAGCTTTCAGACGACAATGAGGAGACCAACATAACTTCTTACCTTTCCTTGGTTTCAAATCGTTTAAAAACTTAATTATCTGCCCCTAATAGCCGTCACTAATTCGCCTCGGCTCCACTATTGTAAACATTCGGGGTGACCACAGCTCACCAGACTGGAAAGCGAGGGGGGGGGGGGCGGGAGGAGGGTTAGATAGTCGGCTTGCATCGCCTCGCCCATGAAAAGATTTATATATAGATTACTTAACATTTCAGGGCCCGTAACACCATCAAGATTGTTTCCTCTGAGGCCCCTAAACCAACGGTAAAACCCGCTATGCTCATAGAAGTCGAGGAACTAGAGGGGCGTGACGTCATGGCGGCCACGCCCCCAGCGCCGGAACACAGCAACACCAAGTGGCTGCAGCGATCCATCCGCACCAACGACGCCCTCGACCACCCCAACTTCCTGCGCCAGGAGCGGACATTCGTGGAGGCGTTCGAGCCCCGTCCCCCCACCCCCCAGTACCGTGACACAAGCCCCGACTCCGCTACGTATGGCGATGACCATAGTGTACACATTTTAAGACCATTCACAGAGCCAGCCTTTGAATTTGTTCCACAAGTGAAAACTTCCACTACCCTTGCCACAACTCTCAACTTTTAAAAGTTCCAGAACCCTGGCCACAACTCTCAACTTTTAAAACCTCAAGAACTCTCGCAACAAATATCAAGTTTTAAACAAAGATTCAGTGTACCAACATCACAAACACAAATTTACAAAATGTTAAAATTGATGCATTTGTCTGGGATTTTTTTCCTGGCTATTTAATTGTTACAGATATTGTTAAAATTGTCACCAAATATGTCGCCAAGGAATATTTTCCATGAGCATTTTTTTTTTCAGAAAAATCGTTTTAAATATGTTATTATTAAACATTTAGTCCTGATATGTTTTCCATGTATTTATATTAAAATTTTTATTATATGTTGAAAAACTATCTAGCTCAAGTGTGTGATAGAGAGTATTTCTAGTAATCTAATATATAAAGCTCAATTCTGTATGTTTGTATGTTTGTAATCGAGAATTACAAAGGAATATAAGAAAAAATGAAAAAAAAAAGCCAAACCTCGATGGATTCAAGTGTTAGATTATTAAAGTGCTCATGGTCTAAATTTATAAGTTAAAAAATTACTATTGAAAGTCTTTCAAAACAATTTTCAATTTATATACTTAGAATAATAATTTTCAATTACGAACATTACATAATTTTTTTTAAAAAGTATATCAACGTTTATAAAATTTCTAAAATTGTGTCTGAAATGTTTTTGCATTTTTTCCTTTAGTTCTCATAACGTCCTTTGATTTGGAAAACACAGTTACTTCCTTCAAAAAACCATTAAATCGGGGGAAGAAAGAGTTTACTTTTTTTTTAACTTTGTTTTGGTGTTAGGAAAAAAATAATTACATAATTAGGGGGATTGATTAAGTGCAATGTCGTTGGTATTTTTAATACTGCCTTTTAGTTATTCTATACACTGAACATACTGTTTACTAATTATTTTTTTAAATCAATAACATTTAATAAGCCAGGTCCTACAAACCCTATATGTTTATTTCTTTCCATTTACGGATAAGCTTGGAGTATTATAATTGTGTTCACTAAATTGAAATAGGCGCGTCCGCCGGCGGCCCTGCACGGTTAGATTTGGCGCCCTGGGCTATCATGTGAGCGCCATGGTGCATAATTTCGTTTTAAACAGTGCGATAGACTTTGGATAAGAAAGGTTACTATAGTCTTTAAGTGAATCAAATCCGGGCGTCCGCATACACCCCGACAGGGTGCTATTTGGCGCCCCGGGCCTTCCCGTGTTCGCTATAGTATCTACGTTCGCGTAAGTGAGTTCAAAAGGCTATGTAAAAGTTGGGTACTATAGTCGTTTACTAAGTTGAATCAGGCGGTTACGCCGCACGTCGTCATGGTGCGATTTGGCGCCCCGGGCTAGACTGTGGACACTTTGAGTTTATCTTTGCGTTTGTGTTTTCTTTGTGTTTGGGTTTGCGTTTGTGGTTGTGTTTGCGTTTGAATTTGGGTTTGGGTTTGTTTTCATTTGCTTTTTTTCTTTGCGTTTGTGTTTTCGTTTGCTTTTTTCTGCGTTTGTGTTTTCTTTGTGTTTGTGGTTGTGTTTGTGTTTATTTTTTTTTTTCGTTTGTGTTTGTATTTGTGTTATGTTTGCGATGTTTTTTTTTTGGTGTGTATTGGTTTTGTTTGGTTGTGGTTGGGTTTGTGTTTGCGTTTGGATTTGTTTTCGTTTGCTTTTTTGTTTGCGTTAGTGTTTGTGTTTTCTTTGTGTTTGTGGTTGGGTTTGTCTTTGCGTTTGTTTTTGTGTTTTCGTTTGTGTTTGTTTTGTGTTAGTGTTATGTTTGCGTTTTGGTTGGTTGTGGCTAGGGTGGGCAATGCCGGGTAAATGCTGATTACTAAACACAAGTTATGGTCCTTGACAGATATGTTTTTCAGAGATGCCCGTGCAGGGCCTGGCCGGGACGGCTAGTTTCTGGTAAAATCACTGAGGTAAGCAAAAAACACCACTGAAGAAGGATAACAATAATCTCACAGGTATCAAAACTAACGTCGTTAGTTGAAACAATGTCACGTGATCAGCTGGAGATGAAACAGCTGTTTGACGGGGTTGGGAGATAGTTTGGTTGGAATCTGAAATCAACAAAACATTATTAACATAAAGTTGAACAGTTAACGGTTGTTTAAACGCAAATTGATGAGTTAAATAGTTAACTTCTGTTTTACCTTAAAGGTGAATAGTTAACGAATGTATCAACACAAAGGTGAATAGTTAACTGATGTATCAACATAAAGGTGAATAGTTAACTGATGTATCAACATAAAGGTGAATAGTTAACTGATGTTTCAACATAAAGGTGAATAGTTAACGAATGTATCAACATAAAGGTGATTAGTTAACGAATTTATCGACACAAAGGTGAATAGTTAACTGATGTATCAACATAAAGGTGAATAGTTAACTGATGTATCAACATAAAGGTGAATAGTTAACGAATGTATCAACACAAAGGTGAATAGTTAACTGATGTATCAACATAAAGGTGAATAGTTAACTGATGTATCAACATAATGGTGAATAGTTAACTGATGCATCAACATAATGGTGAATAGTTAACGCGTAGGTGAATAATTAAATTCTGCACCAACACAAAGGTGATCTTAATCACCAAGTGACTGATCTAATTTAAATCTAATTACATCTTCACGGCACTGTTGTGGAGTCACGTGCCTAATTAATTACCCGGAAAATCTCATTAGCCAAATCATGTTTGTTCGTATTTTCAAATGATCTACAACGTTAAAAAAATTTCACCGCCTGAAGAAACGTTTTAATGTGGGTTTACTGTCGAATATTGTAATACAAAATTTTGGACTCAGTGCCGCTAATTCTATCCCAAATAACTTCGTCTTTGAAAACAACGCAAGAATATCTTATTTTTATCTAATTAGATTTGAAGTTGTAGTAATTAATTAAATACCTACTGAATTCATAAAGACGCAAGAAGGTACACATTATATAATAGCAATCATTCGATCATATATTCACAGATGTTCTTTACAAATCTCAAAGTTCAGATAAATGTTTTCAAAAATCGCAATGCATTTATTATTTCATCTTAAAGAGCGAATAGTGTGCTCCATTTTCTTATTGCATTTAAAGTTGGAAATTTTTAAATTTCTTTTATCACTACTACGGACTGTATTGAAAACGCATTTATCCTCATGTAGATAAACACAAATTGATGACAGAGTCTCTCACAAACACAAACTGATGACAGAGTCTCTCACAAACACAAACTGATGAAAGAGTCGCTCACAAACACAAACTGATGACAGATTCGCTCACAAACACAAACTGATGACAGATTCGCTCACAAACACAAACTGATGACAGATTCGCTCACAAACACAAACTGATGACAGAGTCGCTCACATACACAAACGGATGATAGAGTCACTCAATCGTGACCAACACGCGCCACGCATGATTAAACTTAAACAGATGTAACATTCACACAAACAACAAAGTCCCGCAACATATGTCGCACATCTAGCATTTACTTTTTTGAAGAACAAAACAACAGCTTAGGGACCAGAATCTTTTACTAATGTGAAAATAAGTATCAGATAATGTGTTTAGTGAGGAATCCTGGTGGGGACGGGAAGGTGTGTGGGATGGGGAAGGGGTGATGTGTGTGATGGAGAAGGGATGGTGTGTGTGATGGGGACGGGATGGTGTGTGTGATGGTGTCGGGTTGTGTTGGGGTTGTCTGTGTGGCTGGCAGATATACTTGCGTCCTCTCTACTCTTGACAGACCAAACTTTATATCTTGTTTTGTTCTGTAGTTTTCTAATTCAGTTCGGGTTCATGTTTGGTTTTGTGCAATCGGCTGCTTAGGGTTTTTTTCTGGTTTGTTTTATTTTAACTTCCCACAGATTTTTCTATTTAAACACAGTTATTTTGTCAGTATATATATATATATATATATATATATATATATATATATATATAACGGGAACAGGGCATTTCACCCCTATCAATTACCCCCGGACATTTCCCCCCGACATTACCCCCCGGAGTAATTACCCTCCTGTCAATTACCCCCTGTCAATTACCACCGCCCAGTAGGACATTACCTCCCCCCCGGACAGGGTTAGAGTTAGGGTTAGGGTTAGGGCTAGGTTTAGGGCTACGGCTACGGCTAGGGTTAGGGTTAGGGTTAGGGTTAGGGTTAGGGTTAGGGTTAGGGTTAGGGTTAGGGTTAGGGTTAAGGTTTGGGTTAGAGTTAGGGTTAGGGTTAGGGTTAGGGTTAGGGTTAGGGTTAGGGTTAGGGTTAGGGTTAGGGTTAGGGTTAGGGTTAGGGTTAGGGTTAGGGTTAGGGTTAGGGATAGGTTTAGGGTTAGAGCTAGGGTTAGGGTTAGGGTTAGGGTTAGGCTTAAACCAATATCTAGCGTTGGTTTTGGTTTTGTGTGAAGTTTTAGGCTAAGGTGGATGCTTAGGTTTTGGTCTTTTTTTTTAAGGTTAGGATTAAAGAAGAATATAGGTATAGAATTCTAGTTAGAGTTAGGATTTTAACTTGAGGGGGGGGATAATTCCCCGGGGGGTAATTGACAGTGGGTAATTGCACCGGGGGTAAATATTGGGGGGGGAATGACCGGGGGGGGCTAATTTCCGGAGGGGGTAATGTCCTGTAGCCAAATATAATTAGCTACCAGTACCCGTTTCACATGAATTCCAGGAGTATATTAAAGGTCTTTTAATGTTATACTTGTAGGAGAAAAAGAATTCATTAAAACGTTTTAATAACAAAGCTTTTATGTAATAATGCACTAAAAAGTAGAAAATAAATTATGCGCCACTATTTAAACAACTATAAAGAAAAGCGCGGGTCTCTTTATTTTTTACTTTTTAGTGCATTATTATATAAAAGCTTATTATTAAAACGTTTTTTACGGTTTTTACTTTCTCGTATATACGAAGTATAGAGAAAGTCTTGTAATCGTGCAAAAAAAAAAATCGAGATTTTTACAAATCTCGACGTTTTACTGTGTTTTACACCTCACTGATACGGAAAAACATAATTTTGCAATCTTGTCCGTATGTCTGTGTGTCTGTCTGTCTGTCTGTCCGTGTGTAAACACGATAACTTGAGTACCGTTACAGCTAGGTTGATGAAATTTCATATATAAGTATTTTATCAAAATCGTAGATCCGTATCAACTTTTTATCGATTTCCAATAATCGGAAGTGGTACTTTTTCTACTTTGAAATTTTCAAAAGCCTATAACTTGAGTACTATTTCAGATAGGTAAATGAAATTTCACATGTAAAGAAAAAATCTAATTCTCTACCTTCTGGCCAATTTTGAGTAATTTCCGTTGACCGGAAGTACTAATTTACGCTATTTCCGATTTCTCAAAAAAACGCATGTAAATTTATAAAGTACTAATAATATTGCGCACTATTATGCACATTTTGTTTTGGCGTTCGCTTGGTGCGCAATTTTTTTTTCTATGAGATTCTATTCTATTTTTAAAAGTTTAAGTAATTAAAAATCATGTCTACATTCCAAGTTATATTAGAGAAAGTTTAGGGGAGATCACTCCCGGTTTATTTTTGCCGTACTTTAAATTGTTTAACGCAATAGAGTTGCATGACTAAAAACCATTGCGCACTTAATGAACGTCATGACGCGTGTCTAATAGTGCGGAGACAGCCTACTAATTTGGATACAATTTTAAGTAATTGATAAAAAATTAATTAGGAATCCAATTAAGTCAAATTTAATGTCAGATTGCATTGTCTTCATCTCTTGACCTACGTGCCAACGCTGAAACAAATCTGTCAGTTAGAAGTGTCCGAAATTTTGCTCGGGCGTTTTGATCTAAACTGACGACTGACGGCAGAGGGAGTAAAATAACATTTTGATAACAAGCTTTTATGTAATAATGCACTAAAAAGTAGAATATAAATTATACAAAACTATTTAAATAACTATAAAGAAAAGCGTGGGTCTCTTCCTAAATATTAATAAAGGTATTCAATAGATCACTAATGTGACCCACGATATCTTTATATATATATATATATATATATATATATATATATATATATATATATATATATATATATATATATGCATACCTATAGAGGGAACAACTTACAGTTAACTCACGAATAAAAAGAGTTTGTAAACGAGTTAATGAGAAAAAGAATAAGCCAATGACCCGTTAACAGTGTTTGACGTTGGTTAGATACAAACAATTGTTCAAAAAACAATTTACATTAGGAAAAACAAGGTAGGCTGGCAATTAGCCTCGTTTATCCCTATAAATACTGATCCCGTCCTTGTCTAGTTTGTCTACAGATTTCTTGAGTCTGTACATTGCATCTGGTGAGTACTTTTTTTTTATTTATTTATGTGTATAAATGCCCAATAGATTTTTTGAACGGCAGTAAAATTGTCCAAGTCCCGCGGTTATCCAAAAAAGCAAAATAACAATAACATATTAAATTAATTACATTTGGTAAATAATTTTTTTTTCAAAGCGAAGTATAGCCTACACCCGTCCAAACTACAATGTAGTCTCTACTCTCTGCTGCACTGCCATAGTTCGTAGAGAAAAAAATAATTGTTTTCTACGAATTGTGTTGTGTAGGATGTTTTCATTTGACTATTCACAGAACACTGTCCATTCCATTAATTCGTTTTTAAAACATCTTGTTTGGTATAAGGGGTCATTCCATATTTATTATGCAGTGACTGTTTAGTCGAACACTCAATCAAGTCTTTCATTTAATTCCTATTCAAATCTATTAGTATATAAATATGTTTCCGTGATAAATCACAATAAACACCACGTTGCTGCGTTCTTACGTTTTGTTTTCAAAGCACATTGTTTCACATTTTCAATCGAAAAATAGAAAAAGATGGGTTCATTTTAAATAAAATGTACTTGTGGGATCACTTTGAAACGTGCTTTTGAGCAAATATTACTTGGGCATTTGCACCTCTGGAATTCATACAGTGGGGCACCATTTTATTTGGAAATGTGTCGGTTCGGGTGATTTTCCGATCAGCAGAAGGCATTCGGTAAGTGTCTTCCTGCACCATCCCTGTCCTTAACATCCCCTACCGTTCCGAACCAACAGTTTTTTTCCTGCTTTATTTACAGCTTCACCCATTGGATGCAGTTTTAAACTTTCATTTTCAGAAATCTTATAGAATGACGTCACTAGCCTGTATTGTGTTGGCTCTTTTCGCCGCCACTGACGTCACAGTTGGCTATATGACCAGCTTCGATCAGCCGTTTGACTTCATCTGCCCAAAAGGTCAAGTCCTCAGCTACATAGCCAGTGAGGACAACAATTTCTACAACGACAGACAGTGGGACTTTGGTTGTCGTCAGGTCGGCTCTTCTACATTCAACTGCGCCAAGAGCGGTAAGGGGAAAAATACGCAGTGGCTGTTATGTCGAAATACAAACATTGCGCATAATAAAATACTAACATTGCACATAATAAAATACAAACATTGCAAAAAAAAAGTACAAACTTTCCGCATAAAATATGAACATTACACATTAACATTGCAAATTGCACATAACAAAAATAACTTTCGCACATAAAATATGAACATACATTAAATATTAACACTGCACATAAAATTTGAAAGTTGGACATAAACTGTTAACATAAACTATTAGCACTGTACAGATAATATGAACACTGTACAACACTGTACACATGATTCAATGATTCAAAACAAAAAATACGAACGTTAAATAACCGATTTCGTTAGAGCAAAGCTTGTTAATGTTAACCTAATTTAACATACGTTCTTGTAGCCCGTTTGATGTTCTACTTGTGTTGGCCTAGTCTGTCCTGTGTTGGCCTAGTCTGTGTTGGCCTAGTCTGTGTTGGCCTTGTCTGTGTTGCCCTAGTCTGTGTTGCCCTAGTCTGTGTTGCCCTAGTCTGTGTTGGCCTAGTCTGTCCTGTGTTGGTCTAGTCTGTGTTGGCCTAGTCTGTGTTGGCCTTGTCTGTGTTGGCCTAGTCTGTGTTGGCCTAGTCTGTAATGTGTTGGCCTAGTCTGTCCTGTGTTGGCCTTGTCTGTGTTGGCCTAGTCTGTAATGTGTTGGCCTAGTCTGTCCTGTGTTGGCCTAGTCTGTCCTGTGTTGGCCTAGTCTGTCCTGTGTTGGCCTAGTCTGTCCTGTGTTGGCCTAGTCTGTGTTGGCCTAGTCTGTGTTGGCCTAGTCTGTGTTGGCCTTGTCTGTTTTGGCCTAGTCTGTGTTGGCCTAGTCTGTGTTGGCCTTGTCTGTTTTGGCCTAGTCTGTTTTGGCCTAGTCTGTCCTGCGTTGGCCTAGCCTGTCCTGTGTTGGCCTAGTCTGTCCTGTGTTGGCCTAGTCTGTCCTGTGTTGGCCTAGTCTGTGTTGGCCTAGTCTGTGTTGGCCTAGTCTGTCCTGTGTTGGCCTAGTGTGTCCTGTGTTGGCCTAGTCTGTCCTGTGTTGGCCTAGTCTGTGTTGGCCTAGTCTGTGTTGGCCTAGTCTGTCATGTGTTGGCCTAGTCTGTGTTGGCCTAGTCTGTTTTGGCCTAGTCTGTGTATGTCTAGTCTGTGTTGGCCTAGTCTGTGTTGGCCTAGTCTGTGTTGGCCTAGTCTGTCCTGTGTTGGCCTAGTCTGTGTTGGCCTAATCTGTCCTGTGTTGGCCTAGTCTGTGTTGGCCTAGTATGTCCTGTGTTGGCCTAGTCTGTCCTGTGTTGGCCTAGTCTGTCCTGTGTTGGCCTAGTCTGTGTTGGCCTAGTATGTCCTGTGTTGGCCTAGTCTGTCCTGTGTTGGCCTAGTCTGTGTTGGCCTAGTCTGTCCTTTTTTGGCCTAGTCTGTGTTGGCCTAGTCTGTGTTGGCCTAGTCTGTCCTGTGTTGGCCTAGTCTGTCCTATGTTGGCCTAGTCTGTATTGGCCTAGTCTGTAATGTGTTGGCCTAGCCTGTCCTGTGTTGGCCTAGTCTGTCCTGTGTTGGCCTAGTCTGTGTTGGCCTAGTCTGTCACGTGTTGGCCTAGTCTGTCCTGTGTTGGCCTAGTCTGTGTTGGCCTAGTCTGTGTTGGCCTAGTCTGTCCTGTGTTGGCCTAGTCTGTCCTGTGTTGGCCTAGTCTGTGTTGGCCTAGTCTGTAATGTGTTGGCCTAGCCTGTCCTGTGTTGGCCTAGTCTGTCCGGTGTTGGCCTAGTCTGTGTTGGCCTAGTCTGTCACGTGTTGGCCTAGTCTGTCCTGTGTTGGCCTAGTCTGTGTGTTGCCAAGTCTGTATTTACCTAGTCTGTGTTGGCCTAGTCTGTGTTGGCCTAGTCTGTGTTGGCCTAGTCTGTGTTGGCCTAGTCTGTGTTGGCCTAGTCTGTCCTGTGTTGGCCTAGTCTGTCCTGTGTTGGCCTAGTCTGTCCTGTGTTGGCCTAGTCTGTCCTGTGTTGGCCTAGTCTGTGTTGGCCTAGTCTGTGTTGGCCTAGTCTGTCCTGTGTTGGCCTAGTCTGTGTTGGCCTGTTCTGTGTTGGCCTAGTCTGTGTTGGCCTAGTCTGTGTTGGCCTAGTCTGTCCTGTGTTGGCCTAGTCTGTCCTGTGTTGGCCTAGTCTGTGTTGGCCTGTCCTGTGTTGGCCTAGTCTGTGTTGGCCTAGTCTGTGTTGGCCTAGTCTGTGTTGGCCTAGTCTGTGTTGGCCTAGTCTGTATTGGCCTAGTCTGTCCTGTGTTGGCCTAGTCTGTCCTGTGTTGGCCTAGTCTGTGTTGGCCTGTCCTGTGTTGGCCTAGTCTGTGTTGGCCTAGTCTGTGTTGGCCTGTCCTGTGTTGGCCTAGTCTGTTTTGGCCTAGTCTGTGTTGGCCTAGTCTGTCCTGTGTTGGCCTAGTCTGTCCTGTGTTGGCCTAGTCTGTCCTCTGTTGTCCTAGTCTGTCCTGTGTTTGCCTATTCTGTGTTGGCCTAGTCTGTGTTGGCCTAGTCTGTGTTGGCCTTGTCTGTGTTGGCCTAGTCTGTGTTGGCCTAGTCTGTGTTGGCCTTGTCTGTGTTGGTCTAGTCTGTGTTGGCCTAGTCTGTAATGTGTTGGCCTAGTCTGTCCTGTGTTGGCCTTGTCTGTTTTGGCCTAGTCTGTTTTGGCCTAGTCTGTCCTGCGTTGGCCTAGTCTGTCCTGTGTTGGCCTAGTCTGTCCTGTGTTGGCCTAGTCTGTCCTGTGTTGGCCTAGTCTGTGTTGGCCTAGTCTGTTTTGGCCTAGTCTGTGTATGCCTAGTCTGTGTTGGCCTAGTCTGTGTTGGCCTAGTCTGTGTTGGCCTAGTCTGTGTTGGCCTAGTCTGTCCTGTGTTGGCCTAGTCTGTGTTGGCCTGTCCTGTGTTGGCCTAGTCTGTGTTGGCCTAGTCTGTGTTGGCCTAGTCTGTCCTGTGTTGGCCTAGTCTGTCCTGTGTTGGCCTAGTCTGTGTTGGCCTAGTATGTCCTGTGTTGGCCTAGTCTTTGTTGGCCTAGTCTGTCCTGTGTTGGCCTAGTCTGTCCTGTGTTGGTCTAGTCTGTCCTGTGTTGGCCTAGTCTGTCTAGTGTTGGCCTAGTCTGTCCTCTGTTGTCCTAGTCTGTCCTGTGTTGGCCTAGTCTGTGTTGGCTTAGTCTGTGTTGGCCTAGTCTGTGTTGGCCTAGCCTGTCCTGTGTTGGCCTAGTCTGTCCTGTGTTGGCCTAGTCTGTGTTGGCCTAGTCTGTCATGTGTTGGCCTAGTCTGTCCTGTGTTGGCCTAGTCTGTGTGTTGCCTAGTCTGTATTGGCCTAGTCTGTGTTGGCCTAGTCTGTCCTGTATTGGCCTAGTCTGTGTTGGCCTAGTCTGTCATGTGTTTACAAAACTTTAAGCAAACATCTAACCTTCTTTGTTTGGTCTACTCTCAGGGTACGTGAACGATTTTGATCTTCTGTTGGCCTACATGTGCCCTGAGGGCGCCGTAGTGACAGGCATAGAGAGCTACCACGAAAACTTTTACGAAGATCGCAGGTTCAAGTTCCAATGCTGCGAACTGGATGCTTCTGAGTTCAACGAATGCTACATGACCGAGTTCACCAACAAATATGACCAGAAGTTCGCCTACACGGTTCCGGCTGGCTACGTCATCAGAGGTGCACACAGCGCTCACAAGGACGGCGTTGAAGACCGGATGTGGAAGTTGTACATTTGTAAGCTTTAGGATATGTGAAAATAACATATGCAAGCTTTAGCATATGTGAAAAGAACATGTCAGGTTCAACGACAGATAATAAAGTATTGAGTAACCTACCTACAACCCTTATTTTTTTTCTTAGACGTAATATATAGAAATTATTGTAATCTTCACAAAATTAACTTGCAATTGAGAGTTTTCATCGTTTTACACCTTCCTACTTTATCATATACGGAATCTTAAGATTGTATGGTAATCATGAAAAAAATATGACAATTTTTTTACGTTTAACAACCCAGTGAAGGAAAAGTTCGTTTTGCATTCCTGTCTGTCTGTGTATATGTTTGTATGTGGTTGTGGGGTGTGGGGGTAAACACGATAACTGGAGTACATTTTCAGTTATTTTGACCAAATTTCATATTTAGGCATAATATCAAATGTGTCGTTTTCGATAAACTTTTGAGCGATTGCCGGTAATCAGAAGTAGAAATTATTCCTTTTACGTCAATTAAAAGTCAATAACTTACGTAACATTAAAGTTGGGAAGGTATAATTTCACCCAAACGTACTAAATTTTATGCACGGGTATTTTTTTAATGACTTCGGTTATTCGGAAGTGGTACTTTACTCTATTTCTTGTTTGTAATAAACCGGGAGTGATCTCCCCTAAACTTTCTCGAATATTCTTATATAAAACTAAAACAAAGACGGGTGGCAACTCGGGATATAGACATTATTTTTTAATACATTTTTAATTACTTTAAACTTTTTATAATAGAATAGAATCTCATAGAAAAACGAATTGCGCACCGTGTGAATGGCAAACATTATGTGTATAATATTACGGAATATTATAAGTAACTTATAAGTTCACATGCGTTTATTAACTAATTATTTTTTAGGAAATAGCGTAAATTCTACTTGCTATCCGCGGAAATTACTCAAAATTTAAAAGAAGGCGAAGGATTAAATCTTTTACTTATATTTGAAATTTCGTTTATCTTTCTAAAACATTACTTAATTTGTAGCCTTTTGAAAAACTAGAAGTAGAATAAGTTTCACTTCAGGTTATCGAAAATCGCTGAAAAGTTTATACCTATCTACAAATTTGAAATAATACTTATATATGAAATTCCATCAACCTAGCCGTAACGGTACTCACGTTATCGAGTTGACAGACAGACACATACATACACACAGATACACGGGCAGAATTTCAAAGCCCAGTATATATATATATATATATATATATATATATATATATATATATATATATATATATATATATATATATATATATATATATATATATATATATATATATATATATATATATATATATATATATATATATATATATATATGTATGTATATAAACATATGGGGGTCCCAAAAATAAATATTCTCAGCCGGGGGCCCCGCTCAAGCTTAATCCGCCCATGGTCTCTAAATACACTAACTATGCTTAAGTAACAAGTTTTCATTGACGTGAACTGCTCTATAGCATGAACTAGAATTACCAGTTTGTGCGCCACTCAATCTATATACCCACCGCTTATATTTATATCAATGAAATATATAGACAGCCTAAAACAACTTTCAAAAGTATACTTTGTTATAGGCTTAAATCAAATGTTTGTTTTATATTTTATCAATCCATTTTCCAAGTCACAAAGTTTATTTTGAAAATTGTCTTACATGACTACAACTACAATTACTATGATTACGCAACAAGCTTAAAAGTTTAAGCTGCGCTTGGAGAAATCCGTGATCTAAAAATAGAATAACTTGTCAGGATTGACCTCCTAACAACTTCAAGCTAATCGGTATCGCATTCATGACGTCACATTTCAGCTTTTGCATTTTAACTTTAATTAATTGCTTTGTTAAGTAGGATTAATTTTAGCGCAAATATAATACATAATCTAATTTTGGTATAAGTTTATCTTAACGTAAACAAATTATATTTAATTATTTTAAATTAATATCACGTAGACCTAATAAAAGTGCTTACAAATCCAGTTTCGTGAACAACTCTGGAACCGCAATAATGGCGTCCTTTTTTAACAAAAATATATTGTTTAATAACATTTAATGTCCAATCTTTTGTTACGAGGGTGAAAAAAAAATACAATTCTGAATTATCTCGAGTTTTTTACTCTCTCGTATACGAAGTATAGAGAAAGGTTTCTAATCGTGCAAAAAAAAGTCGAGATTTTCACATATCTCGACTTTTGTACACCTCCTTGGGACGGAAAATCAGTTTTGCAATTTTGTCCGTATGTCTGTGTGTGTCTGTGTGTGTGTGTGTGTGTCTGTCTGAAAACACGATAACTGAGTACCGTTACAGCTAGGTTGATTTAATTTATTATATAAGTATTATATCAAATTTTTGGTTCAAATTTTTTGGTCCGATTTCTCAAAAAACGCATGTGAATTTATAAAGTACTAATAATATTCCACACTATTATACTTATATTATTTAGCGTTCACCTGGTGCGCAATACTTTTTTCTACGAGATTCTATTCTAATTTAAAAAGTACTAGACTACCTGTTATCATTAGATAACTATGGGTTTCGAGGGAAAGCCATAAATGATATCACGTCTGTTACTTATCATCACAAAATAACCAGTGTTTCTTCCAGAATTTTTTCTCCGGGGGGGGGGGGGGCACTTGAAATTTTCGGGGGGGGGGGGCGGTAGACTTTCTTCGGGGGGGGGGGGGGCGGACACTGTTAAAAGTATATATTTTCTATATAAATTATATACATTTTATTTCGTTCGGGGGGGGGGGGGGGGGGCGGTAAAAAAAATTCGGGGAGGGGGGGGGACTTCGCCTGGAAGAAACTCTGAAAATAACCAGACCCCACATTCAAAAAACGACACACCTTTTTTGTCTTTTAAAAATATCTATTTCGGCTTATATATTTTACTTTTAGATACTTCAATTACGCAAATAGGCCCTAGATCTAGCATTATTTCAACTTAAATTTGATCTCAAATTAGCCAATGCCATAGCTAAACAAAGATTTTTATAAAATAGTTAAGGTCTGAAATATTTTAGTATAAAAACTCATTATTATCTATATCTAGATAGAGTTATGTAGATCCTACAACTGGTTTGGTTAAGTCCCGTTAAGTCGAGTTTTCCCGAAGCACTAGATCTAGAACCTAGATAGATAAATCACTTGTATTCTTGAATAAGATTATCCTTGAAGTTAAAAAGCAAAGATATATATCAAATATTTAAGGACTAAAATAGTTTAATAAAGAAAATCAATAATTTATTGAGATTGTATAATGGTTTTTATTTTTAACTAATTAATTTTGGTTTGACTTAGATTCAAGATCTATATCTTCCTTCGACAGCTGATCTTTAGATTCTAAATCTAGAGAAATGTATTGCATCTTTTAATTTAAATGAAAAGGACTGTTGATAATTGATATTAGTGTTGGAACGTTATAAAAATAGCAAACGGACGTATCGTTAAAGTTATAGCCGAGAGAAAATTACCTATACAATGCATTATACTTTTGAATGGGCTACACAATTTTGTATGGAAGCCTCCATAATTGTTATAAAAAGTAAGTAAATCATATGACGTCACTATAAAGTCATTGTTCTGAAATGTTGTAATTAGTGTGGTTAATCTACCAATGAATATATCAATAAATTAATTAACGTCTTTAAATTGATTTGTGATTAACAATCTGATTAAAAACAAAAATTGTTCTCTACCTAATTACGTATTGTACAGCTCTACAAATAGTGCAGATTATCTCCTGTAACCAAACGGACTAACAAAAAAAAACAAAAACAAATATTCAAACATATAAACAAACTTGAGTTTTAGTAGTATACAGATAAATAGATAGATAAGTAATTAAAAATAATGTCTATTCAGAGTAGCCATCCTCCGTAGTAAAATATATAAGAATATTTGAGAAAGTTTAGGGGAGATCACTCCCGGTTTATTTTTTCTTCAATTCTAGTTCATAAGTTTTTTAAAAAATGCGAAGAAGGCAAAACGCTCATGGACAGAATATTTAAGTTCAACTTTATATTTTACACTTGCAATGTATTTTTGGTTACTCGGCTTGCGAGGTTGTAAAGTTATTTACATGCCCAATTAGGCTTATTATTTTTTTTTAAAAACCGAGTGCAGATTTAGCACACATGTGAAGTCGTGATTTCTACAAATAAACTTTGAGTTGACATGTTATGACGCACAACAAAAAAAAATGTATAAGGGGAATAACCCTAGATTTCGACACAATTAAAACTATAAAAGCGGTGCTGGGCCCTTGAGAGCTCTACAGTTTCTATCAACACAAAGTAACGATCTAGTCCATACAGACCTTTTGACGGAAATGTCCAGCCAGTTTAAAGTCTTCTACGTCTTGATCTTGGCGACTGCTGCTAGGGCAGCTTATGTAAACATGTTGGGTCAGCCGTTTGATTTCAAATGTCCGGCTGGTCAAGCCATCAGCGCCATCTCCAGTGTGTACGACAATCTGATGGAGGACAGGCAGTGGTCAGTGACCTGTAGAGCTGCCAACCTGACCAACAGCTGCACGCACAGTGGTGAGTTCAAACCTCTAATCTATTTATAGATTGGGCCAGCACGGTGGTGAGTTCAAACCTCTGATCTATTTATAGATTGGGCCAGGATATTAGTGAGTTCAATCCTCTGATCTATTTATAGATTGGGCCAGGATATTAGTGAGTTCAAACCTCTGATCTAATTATCGATCGCGCAATATGCTATGGACATTTTAAACGCTGGCCATATCTCGTAGCTACATACGATGCATATAGTTCTACCATACCTTTAGCAAATCCCCTTTGTGCATGAACCTTTTCTCGTTCAGATAGTTCAATTAGTCTTTATCTTCGAAGTGTTCACAGTAACAATTCTAAGGGGGGGGGGGGGGGGGGGGTGTCTGTGACAATGTGTGACGGAAGGGAAGGGGAGTTAATTATCGTCAAAAAAGCATGACGCCATTTATGAATAACCCCATGCAGTAACATTTTTCTAGTAACCATATCGTTACAGTAACTATATTTTACATAAACAATATTGTACAGTTACTATGTTGTACATTAATAATAT